TAGTCTGATGGGCTTCCCTTTGCAGGTAACCTAACCTTTCTCTCTGGCTGCCCTTAACACTTTTTTCTTCCTTTCAACTTTGGTGAATCTGACAATTATGTGTCTTGGGGTTGCTCTTGTTGAGAAGTATCTTTGTGGTGTTCTCTGTATTTCCTCAATTTGAGTGTTGGCCTGCCTTCCTATGTTGGGGAAGTTTGCCTGGATAATATCCTGAAGAGCGTTTTCCAACTTGGTTCCATTCTCCCCATCACTTTCAGGTACACCAATCAAATGTAGATTTGGTCTTTTCACATTTTTCCATATTTCTTGGAGGCTTTGTTCATTTCCTTTTACTCTTTTTTCTCTAACCTTCTTTTCTCACTTTATTTCACTAATTTGATCTTCCATCACTGGTACCCTTTCTTCCGCTTGATCAAATCGGCAATTGAAGCTTATGCATGTATCATGAAGTTCTTGTGCCATGGTTTTCAGCTCCATGAGGTCATTTGAGATCTTCTCTACACTGTTTATTCTGGTTAGCCTTTCATCTAATCTTTTTTCAAGGTTTTTAGCTTCCTTGCGATGGGTTTCAACATCCTCCTTTAGCTCAGAGAAGTTTCTGATTATTGACTTTCTGAAGCCTACTTCTGCCAACTCGTCAAAGTCATTCTCCATCCAGGTTTGTTCCCTTGCTGACGAGGAGCTGTGATCCTTTGGAGGAGAAGAGTCACTCTGATTTTTAGAATTTTCAGTCTTTTTGCTCTGGTTTCTCCCCATCTTTGTGGTTTTGTCTACCTTTGGTCTTTGATGTTGGTGACCTACAGGTGGGGTTTTGGTGTAGATGACCTTTTTGTTGATGTTAATTACATTCCTTTCTGTTTGTTAGTTTTCCTTCTACCAGTCTGGTCCCTCAGCTGCAGGTCTGTTGGAGTTTGCTGGAGGTCCACTCCAGACCCTGTTTTCCTGGGTATCACCAGGGGAGGCTGCAGAACAGCAAATATTGCAGAATGGAAAATGTTGCTGCCTGATCCTTCCTCTGGAAGCTTTGTCTCAGAGGGCAGCTGCCTATATGAGGTGTCTCTCAGCCCCTACTGGGAGATGTCTCCCAGTTAGGTTACATGGGGTTCAGGGACCCACTTGAGGAGGCAGTCTGTACGTTCTCAGAGCTCAAACGCCATGCTGGGAGAACCACTGCTCTCTTCAGAGCTGTCAGACAGGGACATTTATATCTGCATAGGTTGCCTGCTACCTTTTGTTCAGCTATGCCCTACCCACAGAGGTGGAGTTTAGAGGCAATAGGCCTTGTTGAGTTCCAGTGGGCTCCTCCCAGTTCCAGCTTCTCTGGCCACTTTGTTTACCTACTGAAGCCTCAGCAATGGTGGACGCCCCTCCCCCAGTCAGGCTGCTGTCTCGCAGATGGATCTCAGACTGCTGCACTAGCAGTGAGCAAGGCTCCGTGTGTGTGGTAGTCACTGAGTCAGGCACGGGAGAGAGTAACCTTGTCTGCTGGTTGCTAAGACCTTGGGAAAAGCACAATATTTGCATAGTAGTGTCCCATTTTTCCAGGAAGTCTGTCATGGCTTCCCTTGGTTAGGAAAGGGAAATCCCCCAACACCTTGTGCTTCCCCGGTAAGGCAACATCTTGGCTCGC